CTCCATGATCGCGCCCTGGGCCAAAGGCAGGCACCAAACCACTGCGCCACCCAGGGATCCCAGTCTACAGTGTTTTGTCATAGCAGCCTGAGCTATAAGACACTTCCGTAAAATGCCAGGTTCCAGCCTGATTACCTACAATCAAGTCTACCACTGACAACCCCCTCCAATTGGCATTTTATTGCCTCACTTTTAAATAAAAATGGATAACCAAAGATTGTCAGATTTTTTTTTAAGATTTTATTTATTTATTCATGAGAGACACACAGAAAGAGAGAGAGTCAGAGACACAGGCAGAGGGAGAAGCAGGCTCCATGCAGGAAGCCTGATGTGGGACTCGATCCCGGAACTCCGGGATCATGCCCTCAACCAAAGGCAGATGCTCAACCGCTGAGTCACCCAGGCGTCCCCAGATTGTCAGATATTTAAAGAAAGCTTCTAAAAAAGAAGAAAAGAAAGCTTTTAACAAGAAATCTGACCACCAAACAAACAGAAAAAAGAACATAAAGGAAACTGACAATACAGTAAAGCTGAAGGAAACCAAAAAAATAATACCATGAATAGCTCAGAGAGGTAAAGGAATGCACTGCCTTCCATAAACAGGTAAGCAACTATAAAAAAAAAAGAAACCTACAGAGAAGAAAAACCTCTTAGAAAAAGAGAGAGCCAGGACATCTGAGTGGCTCAGTGGCTGCGCGTCAGCCTTTGGCTCAGGGTGTGATCCTGGAGTTCCAGGATCAAGTCCCACATCCGGCTTCCTGCGAGGAGCCTGCTTCTCCCTCTGTCTCTCATGAATAAAATAAAATCTTTATGAAAAAAAAAAAAAAAAAGAAAGGAAATGAGAGATCCATTACAGAAATAAATATAATGATTAGGGGTTAAGTTGAAGAAATTTTCCAGAGAAGAGAACAAAAGAAGATGGAAAGTGGGAGAGAAAGACAGTCAAATCAAAGAATCAGTCCATGAGATCCAATATCTGAACAATATAAAGTTCCAGAAATATAAAAGAAAATGGAGGGGATGAATCTTAGAGAAATAATGCTAACAATTTCCAGAACGAAAGAAAATGAGTTTCCAGACTGAAAGTCTCCAAGTGCCAGCTGCATGAATGAAAAAAGTCCCACATCAGGGCACTCTGTCAAAAAATTTTAGGGCATTAAGGAGAAAGAAGATGTTGGCTTCATTTCAGGCCATACTGGAGACCAAGTAATTTAAAAGCCTTCCTAATACAAAATATCTAAAAATACTAGCTAAAATATAAACACAAATCCCATCTAACTGCTAAATTCACAAAACAAATAAATAAGAGGACTTCTCAAATGCCCCAAATGATGAGAAAGCTGAAAACCACAGTGGTAAAAGCTAATGCTGACTGCCCTGAGGGAATTTGTGGGCTTAAAAGAAAAGGGTTTGGGATTGATGAGCCAGATGGGCCCAGGAGATAAGGTCTTGTGCCGGCCTCAAGGAAGGAGTTAGAATTGAGAACTCCTGCATGAATTTAGGAGAAAAGGTAAATCTGAAAATAATCTATCCACCAAAACAGATAAAAGGGGTAAGCCTGGGCTCCACATGACAAAAGTCTTCTCTGAGATTTATAACCATAGGCCTCCCAAGAATTTGGAATTCAAATTCACATTACTTATGTGGTCTAAGAACCCACCACCAAACAGAGAAATTAATGTAAAAAGTAATCCCAGCTCATAACGCCTTTGGCATACATACTTCAAAGAATCAAATGCAAAGCAATTCTAGAGGGTACACAGCTTAGCTCAGGGTTCCCAAAATTTCCTCAGATAAAGCATCATCAAACATTAGCTCACCCTCCAACATTATAAAACACATGAAGGAAACAAGCCACTGTGGATGAGAATCAGCAGAAATAAGAGCAAAATTAGATCCCTAAGAGCTTCAAATAAAATGATCAGATATAGACTACAAAATAATTAAATTATTAAATGCTTTATGTCACTAAAATAAGTATTTAAAACACTGAGAGGGGACACTGGGTGGCTCAGTGGTTTGGCTCAGGTCGTGATCTCGGGGTCCTGGGATCAAGTCCCCCATGGAGAGCCTGCCTTTCCCTCTCTTCTCATGAATAAATTTAAAAAAATTTTAAAAAATAAAAAATAAATAAAAGAATTGGATGCTTAACTGACTGAGCTACCCATTTTTTTAACAGAAAACCCAAGGCAATTTTCTTTTTCTTTTTTAAACATTTTATTTATTCATGAGAGGCACAGAGAGAGAAGAGAGGCAGGGACATAGGTAGAGGGAGAACCAGGCTCCCTGAGGGGAACCTGATGTGGAACTCGATCCCAGGACCCCAGGATCACCACCTGAGCCAATGGCAGATGTTCAACCACTGAACCACCCAGGTGCCCACCCACCAAGGTATTTTTCAAACAAAGAAAACCCCTTCATCCCCAACCACTTCTTACTTAATGACTTCACAGAAGTATACTTTGGGATGAAGGAAGCTAGACCCAGAAGGGGTCTAAAAATTTGCCAAAAATATATATAAATCCAAACAATTGCTGACTGTATAAAACAACAATAGTGACTAATTTGGAAGTAAAAAAGATAGACAATAATCACATTGTTGCTAGATGAGGGCAGCTGTAGTTTACAGACAGACCAGTCTAGACCCTTATCATGTTCAGGAGGAAGGTAGAAATATTTATAGCATCAGACTTTGCCACAGTACACTGGAAGCTGTAAAAAGTGGAATGTAGTTGAATCACTGTACAGTACATTTGAAACTAATATAACACTCACTGGATATTAATTATACTGGAATTAAAAATTAAAACAAGATTTGTACACTTAAAAAAAAAAGGAGTGTAACATGTCTTCAAAATTCTGGGGAAAAACAATTTCTAACCTAGAACTCTTTAAATAGCTGGACTATCATTCAAATGTAAGGTAGAATAAAGAGTCGGGGTGCCTGGGTAGCTCAGTTGGTTAAGCACCTGCCTTTGGCTCAAGTCATGATCTCAGGGTCCTGGGATCAAGCTCCACATCAGGCTCCCTGCTTGGTGAGGAGTCTATTTGTCCTTCTCCCTCTGCCCCTACCCCACTTACTGCCTCATGCTCTCTCTCTCTCTAATACATAAATAAAATCTTAAAAAAAAAGAATAAAAGAATTGTCACACTTGCAGGTCTTGAAAAATATATTTATCATGTATCCTTCCTCAGGAAGCTAAATTAGAAGATGTACTCTATCAAAATGAGGAAGTAAATGAAGAGAGAAGAAAATAGGAATTTGGAATATAGGGGATCCCACACAGGAAAGCAACAAAGGGAAATCCATAGAATGATGAAGGGGAAATTCTAGGAGGAAACCGGTGCAACAAGCTTAGGAATAGCTGGACCAGAATACAAGAGTTAGACAAATGGTTTCAGAAAGTATGTGTACCAGACAAAGAAGAAAACATGGATTCTATGATGAACTTGAAAGTAGTGAGGGAAGATTTATAATTCTGGTAGAATCTGGACATGAGTTAGTGATTATACATAGAAAATGAAGTATATTTCCTAGTTTGCTACATGAGACATCTGTGAATAACCATAATCATGATAGTGCAAATAAATAAATGACCAATAAAAAATGACTACATGTAGGGGAACCAAGGTGGCTCAGTGGATTAAGTATACGACTCTTGATCTCAGCTCAGGTCTTGATTTCAGGGCTGTGAGCTTGGGCCCACATTGGGCTCTGCTTTGGGCATGGAGCCTACTCAAAAAACAACAAAACAAACACTAAAAATACACTGGGAGGAGGAGAGAAGAGGACAGAAACGTGTGTGTGTTTGTGTGCTGCATGTAAGTGGAGACACAGAAAAAAATATTTTCCGTATTAAGAAGTAAACAGCACTCGATGGGATGAGCACTGGGTGTTATACTATATGTTGGCAAATCGAACTTCAATTAAAAAAATAATAGAAAGAAAGAAAGAAAGAAAGAAAGAAAGAAAGAAAGAAAAAAAATTAAAAAAAAAAGAAAGAAAGAAAGAAAGAAAGAAAGAAATCAACAGATATAATTTAAGTTGAAAACAACAGAAGCAGTATGAGTATGCTATTTAGAAATAAGTAGGTAGGGGCAGCCCAGGTGGCTCAGAGGTTTAGCGCCACCTTCAGCCCAGGGCGTGATCTTGGAGACCCTGGATTGAGTCCCAAGTCTGGCTCCCTGCATGGAGCCTGCTTCTCCCTCTGCTTTTCCCTCTACCTATGTCTCCGCCTCTCTCTGTGTGACTCTCATGAATAAATAAATAAAATGTGAGAAAATAAAAAGAATCATCTAAAATGTTCTCATGAGAGAAGCAGGTCACTTACAAAGGAACAAGAATCAGACCAACACCAATTATCAACATCCTCTACTTTCTGCAGGAAGAAAATACTGTAATTTTTCAGCATGTTGAAGGAAAAGAACTTTGACTAAAGAATTTTAACACTACGGTGAAATCAAGATATTCTCAGGTATACAAGCCTCAGAAAGTTTACCACATAAAGCCTCCTTTTGAAAACACTCTCGGAGAAAAGTTCTCCAGCAAAGAAAGAGTACATTATTTAGTAAAGCGTATTATCAGTTCAAAGGCAACAACCAAAGCCTGTATCTGGAATAATCCAGAACTAAAACTAGAAGATACTGAAAGGGGGAGGGGAGAGTATTGAGGGAAGTAAGCACGTGCAGAAATACTTATCTATTTCGGTGGGTGTTTAAGTTTACGGTAAAAATAACCATGAATATGGGCTTAATAAGATACTCTATACTGATTCCCCATCTGCTAATCTCCTTCGTAATTCAGACTGAAAGCTCGTTCGACCTTTAATATGAATTCCTAAACGATTCATGACATCCCTCCATGTACACACACTCAAAATCACTAAGTAATTAGAAAACCTCCATAGGGCTAAACATTTCACGACCTTTTCATCCCAGGAGGCTCTGGTGCAAGAGTAGCAATTTCGACCTCGCATCCCTAGTTCTGACCTGTTACCTACCTAGGTCCGGAGCCCGGAGGCTACTCTCAGCCATAGAACTCTGCAGCTCAGAGAGTCTGCCGTCGCCTGAGAAAGGACAAAACAGCAGCAGAACCACCTTCATCATTAGCCTTCGACCTTCCACCATCCCTTGCCCCTGCCTCCCAATTCCCGCACAATCCCCAGCGCGGCTCCCCGGTACTGCAGGACTCAACTCCATCTCGACCCGTATCCCATCTCACCTCCCGCGCCTGCTTCAAGGGTCCTGTCCCACCGCCTCCTCCAGGACTCTGCGCCCTCAACGCCCATGCCCTCTTCTTGGTCACCCTTTGTACATTCTAATTCCCAGACCTGCCTCCTCAACCCCTGGGAGCCCTTCCCGGCCCCGCTGCCCTCCTCAGCTTCTGCACCTATCCGCTCCCCAATTCCCGGGCACCTTCCCCATCCCTTATCCTCTCCATACTCTCATAACCCCTTCCGCCTTTCTTACCCCATCTTCCCCTTCCCGGCATCCGTACCCTTTCCTTTCTCCCTCCTCAAACCCTCGGCTCCTTCTCGGCCTCCGTACTCCTTCCTCAAGGCCTCCGCGTTCTATTCGCGGGCTCCATGAGCTCTTTCCGAGGTCCAAGCGTCGACGGCAACCCCAGCAGCGCACTATCAGTCTCCAGGCGCCTTCCAACGCGGCTTCAGTTTAAATTTCCTGTCGCTCCGCCCCCTAAGCCGGCGTAACACCTGCGAAGGGCTGCCCTACGGTGGCCCTGCGAGGTCAATGTTAACGCAGCAAATCCTCCCTTCCGTCCGCTTCTTTCTCAGCTCTGCTTTCTCCACCCGTCTCTTCATCTCTGGACTTTTCATTGGCTGGAGATACTCTGCACCTCACGGGAAGCTGGGGACCAGTGGTATACCTGGCCTTAGTGATTCTTCACACTGAGCTGGTTGGAAATTCCTGGGAGTCAGATAATAAATAACAAAACAAGCCTATCACTTACAGAGCGTTGACAATTTACAAAACAAACACATCATTTCATCTTCTTCACATCTTTGTTTCCTTCCCTTTCTCCACTTACTCACCCAACCAAAATATTTCTCAAAAGAGCTGTCTCCATTCTTCACTTCCCATCTTTTCCTCTACTCAGGTAATTAGCGTTGATCCTCACCTCTTCCCTAAAACGTACTTGTCCAGGTCAGCTGTGACTTCCATGTTCCCAAATGCTACGGTCACTTGGCGATACGCATACAATATGATTTCTAGAACATTAAAACAGACCATTCTCTCCTTTAAAAAAAAAAAAAACAATTTTCTTTTTTTTTAAGATTTTATTTTATTTATTCATGAGAGGCACAGAGAGAGGGGCAGAGACACAGGCAGAGGGAGAAGCTGGCTCCATGCAGGGAGCCTGATGTGGGACTAGATCCCAGGTCTCCAGGATCCCGCCCTGGGCTGAAGGCGGCGCTATACCGCTGAGCCACCCGGGCTGCCCTCTCCTTCTTGAGGCAATTTCTTCATTTTGCTTCCATTTCTACCAGTTTTCACCTTCCCTCAATGGCTCCTCAAATCTCCTTTGCTGGATCAAAAGCCATTGTTCCACCTATAAATGTTGCAGCATGCCAGGGCTTTAGCCCTTAGCCCTCTTCTCTTCCATATTAACACTTTCTCCCTAGGAGACCTCATTCAACTCCATGGGTTTGCACTCAGCTTTATGCTAACGCCTGCAGAATTTCTATCTCTAGTTCTGACCTCTCCCTTAATCTCCAGACATATATTCAAGTGGCTACTGAACATTTCTGTTTGGATGTCTAACGGGCACCTCAGGTTTAATATGTTAAAAACAGAACATTTGTTTCACCCACACATCCCTCAAAAAAAAAAAAAAACCTATTCTTCTCCATCTCAGTACGTGTTATACAATCCACCTAGTTGCTCAAGACAAAAACCTAGAGGTTATTTCAGTATTTTCCCTTATCCCCACCCTCACTCCAAAAAAGTTCTGCCAACTTCAAAGTATACCTTGAATCAGACCACTGTTACCATCTTAGTTCAAGCAACCATACCTTCTTGCCCAAAGCACTGTGTTACTTTCTAACACAACTTCTACTCTTTTTTTTATTAAGTAAACTCTACTAAAGGGGAACTTGAACTCATGACCGTCAGCGCAAGAGCGGCATGCTCTACTGACTGAGCCAGCCAGGTGGCCCAACACCACTTTTACTCTTGAGTAGCTTCCTTCATCTCCTCAGAGTAATCCATTCTCCATGCACAACTGGAATGATACTCCTTAAAAACCATGCAGAGATACATCCCTATCTCTATCTCTATCTCTCACATACATTTTGTATCCCTTCCCACAGGGCCCCTCCCTACACTAGATTACACATACCGGCCCTGATAAACTAAAGCTTGGCCATGTGACTTGCTTTGGCTGATGAAAAAAGAAAAAAATCAGTATGCCAGGATGGCTCAGCGGTTGAGTGTCTGCCTTCGGCTCAGGGCATAATCCTGGAGTCTCAGAATTGAGTCCCACATCATGAGTTCCCTGCATGGGAGCCTGCTTCTCCCTCCTCTGCTTATGTCTCTGCCTCTCTGTCTCTCTTGTGAATAAATAAAAATCTTTTAAAAAAAGAAAAAAATTGACATCACTTTCAAGTACAAGTTTAAAGAGACAGGATCATTTACCAAGTTCTTTTCCCCCATCACAATGACTGGCAATGTCCTAGCTAGAGGCTGATCTGTCAGCTTACATACCTTAGTGAAGATAACGTAGAGCAGAACCATGGGCAACCCCAAATGGATCTGTTGCATAAGCAAGAAATAAACTTCTGTTATTTTAAGCTACTGAAATTTGGGTATCATTTGTTACTACCTCATAATCTAGTCCAAGGTTCCCGAAGTGTAGCTCAGCCCTTTCAAAAAGTCCCATGAAGGGCAGCCCCGGTGGCGCAGCAGTTTGGTGCTGCCTGCAGCCTGGGGTGTGATCCTGGAGACCCGGGATTGAGTCCCACGTCGGGCTCCCTGCATGGAGCCTGCTTCTCCCTCTGCCTGTGTCTCTGCCTCTCTCTCTGTGTGTCTCTCATGGATAAATAAATAAAATCTTAAAAAAAAAAATCCCATGAAGTCCAAATTACTTACAATAGTTTACAATAACACAAAGACATTATTTTCTATTTTTTAAAAGATTTTATTTATTTGAGAGAAGAGAGTGAGAGTGCTTGAGCAGGATGGGGGTGGGGCAGAGGGAGAGAGAAAAGCAGGCTCCTCACTGAGCAGGAGGCCTGACACAGGGCACCATCTCAGGACCCTGAAATCATGGTGTGAGCTGAAGGCAGATGCTTAACTAACCACTCAGGTGCCCTTATTTTCCATTTTTTGTTCTCATTCTTTTATGAATGTTTAATGGAGTATGCAGAAGCAAAACTAAGAACACTCTTCTGTTTAATCAGTTATTTAAAAGATTTGGAGAAATGTAAAACAATGCCATTCTTCTAATTATCTTTATTTTGGGAAAAAAAATGTATATTCTTAAAAGATTTATTTATTAACTTGAAAGAGAGCGAGAGAGAGCATGTGAGTGAGGGAGAAGGGCAGAAGGAGAGTGAGACAAGCAGACTCCCCTATGAGCAGGGAGCCTGACTCAGGGCTCTATCCCACGACCCTGACAGATCATGACCTGAGCCAAAACCAAGAGTCAGGTGAGCCACCAGGGGCCCTGGAAAAAAAAAAAAAATATATATATATATATATATATTTTTTAAATTTTTATTTATTTATGATAGTCACAGAGAGAGAGAGAGAGAGGCAGAGACACAGGCAGAGGGAGAAGCAGGCTCCATGCACCGGGAGCCCGATGTGGGATTCGATCTCGAGTCTCCAGGATCGCGCCCTGGGCCAAAGGCAGGCGCCAAACCGCTGCGCCACCCAGGGATCCCTGGAAAATATATTTTTATAAAAAATTCTGGGGATCTCTGGGTGGCTCAGTGGTTTAATTCCGCCTTCAGCTCAGGGCGTGATCCTGGAAACTCAGGATCTAGTCCTATGCCTTGGGCTCCCTGCGTGGAGCCTGCTTCTCCCTCTGCCTGTCTCTCTGCCTCTTTGTTTTTCTCTGTGTCTCTCATGAATAAGTAAATAAAATCTTAAAAAAAACCCAACTATATAAATTTTAAAATACCCATATTTGTGCTGTCCGTCCGGATTGGAAGCAGTTCCCCAAATGTGGGGTGACTCGATCAATCAAATGTGGGGTGACTCGATCAATTGGGTGCAGGGCCAGCATGCCAGCAGTGAAAGGATTCACCTGAGGCAGAACAAAGGAGGTAGGAGGAATGTACTGAATACACTGCAAGGGAGTGGTGGGCAGGGCAGCAAAGAAGAGGCACTCTGCAAGGAGGCAGAGGGAAGTAAGGAGGTATGGGGATGTATGGAATTTCCCTTTCTTAGTAACTGTGCCTGGTTGGAAGTAGTCCATTGGTTAGTTGGGTCCTATGGATAGTTTGAGGCAGGTGGCCTGATGTGCCTGTCCTGTCTTCAGTCAGAGGGCTGGGGTCACTGTGGGCCCTCTACTTTATTCAGGTTTCCACTGTTCAAGCCTGTTGCCTAGAAGCATTCTCTAAAACACTGCGGTAGACAATGTCTGAAGAGGGCCTGCAACACGTACAACTCCTGATACTACTGACCACATCAAATAGGGCTATGTACCATAGAACATTGAGGAAATAACAACACACCACTTCTGAGGCTGGGTTATAAAACATTTCAACGTCTGTATTGCTGTTTCTTGGATCACCTGCTGTGGGGGAAGCCAGCAATCATGACAGGAGGACTCTCAAGTGTGCCTGTGGAGAGGCTTTTGTGGAGACTGAGAGGAATAGACTCCCTGCTCACAACAGCCAGCACCAATTGAACCACTAATGTGATTGAGCCATCTTGCAAGAAGATTGTTCAGCCCTAGCCAAGCTGAACAAGAGATCCCAAGAGATCCCAAGACAGAAAAGCCCAACCAAGCTGCTCCCAAATGCCAGGCCTACAGAAACCCAGAGAAGATCAATGATTGGTGGCAAGTCATTACATTTTGGGGTGAGACAGCAACAGATAACTGATATACACATCAACAAAAAAGCTGTTTGTGATCCCCAATTATGGATAAAATTACCTTCCCCTGCAAAACCACCCAGAGGCTTTCCCTGTTTGCTCCTCGTACCAAACTTTCCTGTGTCTTGAGTGAGCCCAACGTGTTGGTGCCTTAGGGCCTTTATACCAATGGTCTCATTTCCCAGCTCTTCTCTTTCGTTTAGGCAATGAGATCAAATCTCATTTTTTTTCAGATAGGACTTTGGAGACCACCCAACCTAACAGCAGCTCCCCCATTTCTTTCTGGGTGTACTACTTTGGCTTATTTTCTTCACAGTGCTTACCACTAACAGAAAGTATTTTGTTTGCTGGTTTGTTGTCTATATTTCCCCAGGTAGAATGCAAGTCCATAAGAAGAAGGACCTTTTCTGTTTCACTTACTGCTATATCCTGGTGGGTGCTTACT